TCTAGTTTATCTATTTTTTCTTTTTTGTCTGTGCTTTTGGTGTCATTTGAGGAGTCATTGCCAAATCATTGTCATGAAGCTTTTGCCCTGTGTTTTTTCCTAAGAGTTTTATAGTTTGTAGTTCTTATGTTTAGCTCTTAGATCTGTTTTGAGTTAAGGGGTAAGTCTTTTGAATGATATTACCTGTGTGTTTCTTATCTCTAAAATGTCCTACAGAATTGTGAACATTAAGTGAGTTAATATTAAGTGATGTGAAAATCCTAAAAAATATAATGCTAAATTGTTGAATCAGCCTTGATAATATAAAACAGGCTAACCCAACAATGATAAAAAAAAAAAAATAACCTTAACGTCTTTACTACCTGAAGTGTGCCAATTTTTTCCTCTTTTAATAAAATCAAATGAAATTAGTATCTGTTTTAAGGCATTTTAGGAAAGTAAGATTTGTTGTACAATAAAATCCTGAGCAACTTTCTGGCACCTCCTGCCTTCAGGAATCAGTTTGAATCAAGAAGTCTCAAAAATAAAGGTCGTAGTGGTAAATGGGAATATTTTGCAGCTCCTACTTCTTCATCTCTCAAATGTTCCTAAATCTACTATAATCTGGTTTCTGGTTTTTTTTCATGGGGAAACAGACTCACTGAGGTTATTAGTGACCACATCCATTGCCAGGTTTTGGTTTTGCTCACTCTTGATAGTGGTTAAGGAAAAAGAATCTCTAACCAGACTGTTTATGTTTCACTCTTATTAGCTTCTGACCTTATATAATGTGTAATTTCTCTGTGTCATCATTTCTTCACTTTTCAAATGGGGAAAACAGTGACACCTGCTTTAAAGTATTTTAGAGTTTGGATTGAAAATTGGAATCTTCAAAAGCAGTCCTTTTGGGGGTTTAGAGCATCCTTGTAAGTTCTAATGAAATATAAAGTAATAAAGGAACCATTATTATTTCTCATGGGGAATCTTTTTTTGTTTTGTTTTTTTGTTAATCATCGCCCGAGGATATATTTTTTCCATTAATTTTTAGAGAGAGTGGGAGGGAGGGAGGGGGGAGAGAGAGAGAGAGATAGATGTGAGAGAGACATATCAATTGGTTGCCTTCCACAGGCGCCCTGACCAGGCTGGGAATTGAATCTGCAACCCAGGTACATGCCCTTGGCCAGGGATCTAACCCTTGACCCTTTGGTGCACAGGCCGACGCTTCAACTACTGAGCCACACTGACCAGGGCTCATGGGAAATCTTATTCAAGAATTGCAGTAATATGTAAAGCTGAATTTTATACATACTTATTATTAAGATTTTATTTCTTTAGAGAAGTTTCATGTTCACAGAAAAATTGAGTGGAAAGTACAGATTTCCCTGCCCCTACACATACACTTCCCATTTATTAGCATTCTCCACCAGTGTGGTATATGTTACAATTGATGAATCTATATTGACCCATCATAATCACCCAAAGTCCACAGTTTACATTACAGTTCACTCTTGGTGTTCTACATTCTATGGGTTTGGGCAAGTGTATAATTTACACATATTCATCATTATGGTATCATATAGAGAATTTTCACTGCCCTAAAAATCCTCTGTGCTCTGCCTGTTTGTTCTTCCTCTCTCCCCAACCCTTGGCACAACCACTGATCTTTTTTTTTTAGTTTTTATTTATAACCACTGATCTTTTTGCTGTCTCTGTAGTTTTGCCTTTTCCAGAATGTCATATAGTTGGAATCATATATTATGTAGCCTTTTCAGATTGACTAAGTCCTTTTAAAATTGAAATAGAATTCACATACCATAAAATTCACTCCTTTAAAGTGGCATTTGGTATATTCACAAGGTTGTACAGCATCACCACAATCCAATCCCAGAACATTTTCATCACTCCAGAAAGAAACCTGTACCTATTAGTAGTCATTCCTCAATTCCTCCTTCCCCAGTCCCTCGAAGACATTAATCTAATTTCTATCTCTGGATTTGCCTATTCTAAACATTTTATATAAATGGAATTATACAATATGTAGCCTTTTGTGTCTGATTACTAAGCCCTTTTAATAATGTTTTTAACCTTTTCAAAGTATGTTAAAGTTTCAAAATAAGTTAACACCTCTATGAGGTAGATAGGAACTTTATGATGTAATAGCATTGTCATATTTATTATGTCTTCATGACCTCGGTTTACCATAGGATGAAGGAAAGAGGTTTAGAGGTGGCCGAGTGGAGATTTGGAGGAGAGTTAAAGGAAAAATGGGACATGATGTATATAAAAAAATAATTTGATCCTGTGGGAATTTTAGGACCATGAATATTAAGCTTTATTAAATATAACCGCAATTAAATATTCCAGTTATATTTAAGACTTTAAAGTTTAAAGATGGGTTTTTGAGCCTTCAATAGTTATAGACCAAATCTTATTTCAGCAAGGTTGGAAGGATGTCAGGATGGTGCTCTTAGTTATTCTAACTCTTTAAATGGAAGTCTGTTACTACAGTGTGCAGAAGGGGTATGATAAATTTATTTGTTTTAATGATTAAAAAACAAATTAAAAAATTTGTTTTAATAAAAAAAATTTGCCTTTGCTGCAATTATTTTGAGCAAAGGACATTTATATACTGGAAATTTAAAGTGCTAATTCTTGAAAATTGTATGTATATTTGAGATTAATGGCATTAGTAAAAAGCATTTTTCTATAAATTTTACGTAGTAGGCTTTCTGTTTTAAAACATAGTGTGCTTTTGAGATGCAAATTAGTGCCATCTTCACAATTGAATTTGTAGCTGTTACTATGTAGAGAAAGATCAATAGGATAACAAATTCCAGTAGGCTCTCTTGTTGTCTACCATGGCTCCTACTATTTCCTGGCATAAAGGTAGTGCTTGTTAAATTATTCCTTGTTTTCTGTCTAGTCTTTTGTCCTGATGAACTGTGCTGCTGGGCTGCATGAGGACTTCTTTTACCTGGGAGGCTAGTGATCTTACCCCATGTTTCCTTTCCTTGAGTCTCATACTTTATCCTGCTTATCTTTCTTGGGAGTTCTCCCCTCAATAGTAAGAGCCCCCTGATCCATTGTATAATACCATTCCCAAGGGAAGTAAGTTCTAAAAGAGGACAGTTACTGAAAATGAAAAGAAAGTAAGAGGTATCCAAAGATTAGTAAAACTCTTGCTCCTATTCAACACTTGTAATCAGAACTTTGTTTTAGCAGTTCCAGCTTCATGTTCAGTTGTTTAACTATGATCTTAGAATCTCTTCCATATTATCCTTTCTCTATGTTGACTTTCCTGCTGGATTGAGGTGGTGGGTAGTGGGGGCAGAGGGATAGAGAGAGTCTTGTGTGTATTGAAGTGAGGAGGAAAGCTTTGAGAAAACCCAGGAGGACAACAGTATCTGCCAAAATAGTCTAGGTAGGATTTTTACTTGTGTATGTGTTGCTGTTTTAATTTGTGTGTATATGAATTGCTTTATATAACCAAGGTTGGCTGAGAATATGCTGATTCAGAAAATAATTTATTGTGTGCTAGCCATTTACCTATTGCATAAAATTTAAGATCTCAATGCACATAAAAGCACTTTGTAGTTTTCAGCTTTTATATATGTCTCAGGCCTTACAATCAAGAAGTTCTTTTATGATCGTTTTTATAAAAGTACAATCCCTTAAAAATCTATTACACCTTATTTATTCACACATCATTATGAATATTTAGTTTTGTATAAATATTCAAATATGGTTATTCACATTGTTTTTCATTACTGAAATGATAATGCCTTGTTTGAATATTATGTATATCTTTCAGCTGAATTTATTTTATATGTATCTGTTTAGGGTGGTCTGATTTATGACATATGTTTGGACATATGTATAATTCATTGAATCTTAGAGATGGGGGGATCTTAAAGGCTTTTCTAGTCCTGATTGCCCACTTAAAACAGAAACACATCTTCAGCTCTTGACATTCAAATCATATAATTGCTGCTTTATTATAGCCATTGGTAGGGAATCTAATCTTTTTAGGCATTCCATTCTATTTCTGAATAATTCCGACCAATTGAAAATTACCTTGAATCTATCTCACTGTTAACTGTTTATCATAATTTTGTTCTTTTAGAACTAGACCCTCTTCTGTAAAAATACTCTTCAGTGGTTTGAAGACAGATATCATGGGTCTCATTACATCTTATTTATGTCAGTTTTGTTTGTTTTTTGTTCTGCCTTGTTAGTCATGTTACAGGATTTCTCTATCCTCACTTAATGGACATGTTTGACTTTCTTGGCTTTAAATGCTTTTTACTACAACCCCAATAAAGAACACATTTTATATCTCATTCAGTATACCCATACATATCCATATATGTAAGTACATAGGTTTTTATTGTTTTGGTTTTTTTGTTAATCCTCACCCAAGGATATTTTTTCCATTGACTTTTAGAGAGAGTGGGAAGGAGGGAGATGGGGGGGGGGAGAGAGAACCATTGATGTGAGAGAGAGAGACACCCAGTGGTTGCCTCCTGTACCCCCCCGGACCGGGGGCCAGGTATTGAACCTGCAGTCAAGGTTCTTGCCCTTGACTGGGAATCGAACCCCCTCACCCTTCGTTGAGCGCTCTAACCATTGAGCAACACTCGCCAGGGCTGTAAGTACATAGTTTTAATACATGTATGTAACAAACAAAAATTTCATTAAGATAATATATCTTTACACTAACGTTTTCTGTTCTTTTTAATTTTTAAAAAATGCTAGTGTTGCCTGTTACATTGATTTTTATCACTCCCTGATGAATTTCAACCTGTAGTTTGGAAAACATTGTTCTAGTTTGTTCATGCTGCAGAACTGAAACAGTTTCCAAAAGATGGATGTTAGGACAATCATTGCTAAAACAGGTTTTACCTTTATCACCTCAAAGAAAATATCCTGATGGTGATTACTAAGGAAAAGTTAACAGGATTATCAAAGTTCTTGGTGATGAATACTGTAAAATACACGTTAACTTTTATTTTTATCCTCAGGTGGCGACAGACAAGGTTGCAGAAAAGCTGAGTTCTACTCTCTCATGGGTGAAGAACACAGTATCATATACAGTCAATCAGATGGCCAGTCAGGTGGCAAGTCCATCTGCTTCATTACCCACCACATCCTCGTCTACCACACTGTCAACGCCAGCCCTTTCACCATCTTCCCCGTCACAGCTGAGTCCAGACGACCTCGAGCTCCTGGCTAAACTGGAGGAACAAAATAGGTGAGTGAGGTGCTTGGCCTTTCTCTTTCCAATTATCATGCAAACTCAACCATTCATATATCTATATATTTATATATAGATATATATATATATATATGCACCACTATCAAAGTTTTAAATACTCATATTAAGGATGTCTATTTTTCTAGTTTTTGGTGCATCGTTTATCAAAATTACTTAAAAGTATTCAAGTCTTTTTTGGAGAAGTGGTCTTAAAACTAAAGTTGGATTAAAATTTTATTTTGGCTCACATAGTTTTATATATATATATATATTTTTCCCCTTTATTTAATTTTTTTCCATCGCTATTTATACCCTCTATACACTCCTCTGTCTCTACCCCCCCTCTCCCTATATATTTATTTTCTTAGTATAGAATTTTCCCTAAATTCTTCCTGAATTTTAGAAAAAATTTTAAAGGCAAATAAAACCACCATTTTTGTTTTAAGCTAAATAGTGCCCTTGGTTAAGTTGTAAAATCATTTAAGCAGGCTGGATATCTGATTTGTGTTTTAGAGTAGGAAATCTCTTTATAAGTTTGTTCACGGCAGGCAAAGTATCCTTTTCTGTTGATGGATATGAAATAGTTGTTGACTCTGCTAGGAATGTGTGCTCTGGATTCTGTGTCCTTTCACTATATTGTTATCAAAAGCTCTTTAGGGCATCAGTTACAAAGGAATTATTAGAAGAGCATCCTTTTGTGTTTAGTCAAGGTTTATATTACCACTCACTTTAAACATGATAGCAGAGATCATTTCTAGCAGTTTTTTTGATATATAATTGACATAATAAAAAAGTACACTTAATAAGGCATATAATTTGGTAGTTTTGACATATGTATATATTGTGAAATTATCACCGTAATCAAGAAAATGAACATATCCATTATCCCCTTTCACATCCCCAGGGAGCCATTGATCTGCTTTCAAACTAGATAGGTTGCATTTTCTAGAATTTTATAGAAATGGAATCTTACACTATATACTCTTTAAAAAAAAATTAAAAATCTATTGATTTTTAGAGAGAGACGAAGTGTGTGGGGGGAAAACATGTATGTGAGAAGGAAACATTGATCTGCTGCCTCCTGCACGCCCCCTATTGGGAATTGAGCCCTTGTCCCTGGCATAAGCCCGGACTGGGAATTGAACCGGTGACATCTTGGTGCACAGTATGACACCCAACCAACTGAGCCAAGGCACTATATACTCTTTTTTAATGGATTATTTCACTCAATATAATTATTTTGAGATTAATCCACATTGTGGCATATATGAATAGAGAAAAGAAAGTGCCATATGATTTCACTTATATGTGGAATCTAATGAACAAAATACATGAAGAAGTGAAATAGAAAGAGACTCATAGATACGGAGAACAGATTGACATCTGTCAGAGGGGGAGGTGGGTTGGGAGGCTTGATGAAAAAGGTGAAGGGATTAATCAAAACAAAACACAACAACTCATAGACACGAACAGGTGTATGGGCACTACCAGAGGGAAAGGGGGGTAGAGGGAGATAGAGGAGAGGGGTAAAGGAGGGATAAGTGGTTTTGGAAGGAGACTTGACTTTGGATGGTGAACACGAAATATAATATACAGATGATATATTATAGAATTGTATACCTGAAACCTATATAATTTTATTAACCAGTCACCCCAATCAATTCAATAAAAAAAAAAATCCTTTTTTTGTTTTGTTTAATCCTCACCCAAGGATGTTTTCTCCATTGATTTTTAGAGAGTGGGAGGGAGGGATGGGGAAGAGAGAGACAGAGACACCGATTGATTGTCTCCCATACTCATCCCAACCAGGGCCTGGGCTTGACCAGCAACCTAGGTACATGTTCTTGACTGGGAATTGAACTTGTCACCCTTCAGTGCCAGGGCTAATGCTCTTACCACTGTGCCACACTGGCCAGGGCCAAAAAAATTAATTTTAAAAAAATCATTTTTGTACAAACATTCGTATTGATATATGCTTTCATTTCTCCTGGACACATACCTAGTGATGGAATAGCTGATTCATATGGTAGGTATACATTTTACTGTTAGCCTGTTTCCCCAAGGGCCTATACTTTTTTACATTCCTACCATTAGTTTATAAACATTTCCTCTACATCCTTGTCAACACTTGGTGCTATCAGTCTTTTTAATTTTAGCCATTTTAGTAGGTATTGATATCTTGTGCTTTTTAAAATTTATTTTTCAGTTACGGTGACTTACAATATTATATTAGTTTCAGGTGTACAACATAGTGATTAGTCATTTATGTACCTCACAAAGTTATCACCCCAATAAGTGGTACCCATCTGACACCATACCTAACTATTACAATATTATTGAATGTGTTCCCTGTGTTGTACTTTATATCCCCATGACTTTTTATAACTGGGAGTTTGTATTTCTTAGTCCCTTCCATGTTTTCACTTATTTCCCCAACCCCCCTTTCCATTTGGCGACCATCAGTTTCTTCTCTGTATTTATTAGTGTTTGTTTACTTTGTTTTTTAGATTCCACATATAAGTGAAATCATATTGGTATTTGTCTTTCTCTGACTTATTTCACTTAGCATAATACATGTAAGTCCGTCCCTGTGGTAAGATTTCGTTCTTTTTAATGGCTGAGTAACATTTTATTGTATATAGGTACCAATCTTTATCTATTAGCCTATTGATGGACATTTAGGTTGCTTCCATATATTGGCTATTGTAAATATGCTGCAGTGAACACAGGAGTGCATACATCTTTTTGAATTAATGTTTTGAATTTCTTCAGATAAACACCCAGAAGTGGAAGTGCTGGGTGATACAGTAGTTCTATTTTTAATTTTTTGAGGAACCTCCATACTGTTTTCTATAGTGGCTGCACAATCTCACCAACAGTACACTAGGGTTCCCTTTTCTCCACATCCTCACCAATACTTGTAGTTTATTGATTTATTGATGCTAGCCATTCTGAGAGGTGTGAGGTGATATCTCATTGTGGTTGTAATTTATATTTCCCTGATAATTAGTGATGAGCACCTTTTCATATGTGTGTTGGTCAATTGTGTGCCCTCTTTGGAGAAATGCCTATTCGGTCAATTGCATGTCCATTTGTTAATCAGATTGTTTGCTTTTTTGGTGTTAACTTGTATGAGTTACATATATATTTCTGATATTAACTCCTATCCAATGTATCATTTGGCAATATCTTCTCCCATTTAGTAGGTTGTCTTTTTGGTTTTTTAAAAATGGTTTCCTTTGTTGTGCAAAAAGTTTTTAGTTTGATGTCCCATTTGTTTATTTTTTCTTTTATTTCCCTTGCTTGGGGAGATATATTAAAAAGTGTTATGGTTTTATGGTTTCAGGTCTTACATTTAAGTCTTTATTTTGAGTTTATTTTTGTATTTGGTGTAAGAAAGTGGTCCAATTTCTATTTTTTCCCATTTATCTTTCCAATTTTCCCAACACCATTTATTGAAGAGGCTATCTTTACCCCATTGTATATTCTTGCTTCCTTTATCAAAGATTAGTTGACTATTCGGGCGTGGATGGTATCATGTGGTTTTAATTTGCATTTTGTAATAGGTATTGAGCATCTTTTTATGTGCTTATTTGCCACTGATATATCTTCCTTAATAAAATGTCTGTTTGAAATTTTGCTTGTTTAAAAAAATGAGTTTGTTTTCTTACTATTATGTTTCAAGAGTTCCTTTTTTTAAAAAATTTTTTTAAAAACATATCTTTATTGACTTCAGAGAGACGAAAGGAGAGGGAGAGAGATAGAAACATCAATGACGAAAGAGTCATCGATCAAGCCCACAACCTGGGCATGTGCCCTGACCAGGAATCGAACCCCGATCGCCTGGATCCTAGGTTGACGCTTAGCCACTGAGCCATGCCTGGCCAGGCTCAAGAGTTCTTTATATATTTTGTATACAAGTCCTTTTTCATGTATATACTTTTCAAATATTTTTCCCCCCAATCTGTAGTTTTGAATATGTTTTGAAGAGCGAAAGTTTTAAATTGGATGAAGTTCAATTTGAAAGTTTTCTTTTATGGATTGCACTTTTGATGACTCAAAGTTACACAGATTGACTCCTATATTTAGAAGTTTTATAGTTTTACATTTAGATCTATGAACCATTTTGAGTTAATTTTGTATATGGAGCAAAGTATAGATCAAAGTTCATTTGTTGAATACGAATATTGTTTCATATCATTTATTGAAAAGACATTTTTCTCCACTTAATCACTTTTTCACTTTTGTTTAAAAAAACAGCTGTCCATATATGATTGGCCTATTTCAGGACTCTATTCTCTTCCATTGATCTATTTGTCTATCTGAATGCCAATATGATACTGTTTTGATTATTGGAGCTTTATAGTAAGTCTTGAAATTACATAGTTTTAATCCTCCATTTTTGTTCTTTCATTTTGACAATTTTTGATTCTTAGCATTCCCATATGAATTTTACATCAAGTTGTTAATTTTTATTTATTTTTTAAATATATCTTTATTGATTTCAGAGAGAGGAAAGGAGAGGGAGAGAGAGAGATAGAAACATCAATGATGAGAGAGTCATTGATCGAGCCTGCAACCCGGGCATGTGCCCTGACCAGGAATCGAACCCCCATCGCCTGGATCCTAGTTCGACGCTCAACTGCTGAGCCACGCCCGGCCAGGCTCAAGTTGTTAATTTTTACAAAAATACTTGCTGAGATTTTTATTGGAATTGCATTGAATCCCTGACAATATCATCTTCTACCCATGAACACAGTATATTACTTATTATTGCTTGTGCATGGTATTATTTTTATAAATTTAATTTTTGATTGTTCATTGCTAGAATATAGAAATACAATTGTTTTTTCTTATTAATCATGTATCCTGCTCCCTTGCTAAACTCACATGTTATTCTGGTAGGTTTTTTTTGTTGTTTTAGATTTCATTAGATTTTTCTATATAGATGAGCATGTTGACTGTGAGTAAAAGAACTTTTACTTTTTCCTTTGCAA